CATATCTATTGTCCTCCACATTGCAGGTTTTAGTCATTTTAGTAGACCAATGACATAAAGCAAATCCCGAAATTTAAAGATCAGCTTAGAGCAGATAAACGCATTTGATGCAACTAGGGAAAATTAGCATCTGAGATCACCGATATTCAAGTCTAGATGCACACAGTCCACCTCATAAAACATTAGTGTAGCATGACCTAAAAGGTAAAAGCAAAATTATATACCCGGGAATCTAAGGAATTGAGGTTTAATATCTTCAAGCATCTCAATAAGCTCAGTTCTGAAATCATGTCCCTGTTGCAAGGTAAGTTTTTGGAAGAACATCAAGGGACATTTAGATAGGCAACAAATAATGCATAAATTTTGCAGAAAGCAAAGAACTGCAGTGTTAAAAGCACCTACAGTCAAGTTCTCGTACTTCAGCTAAAAGCACGTAGATTCACATCCCATGCTTCAGAAACTCCACATAAAACCCGCAAGAAGAAATGCTCGATACAAAAATTATTGACTAGATGTTGAAAGCAGTATGGAATATTGATATTAAATTCCTCTTTAGAAAAACCTTCTCTCTGTATTAGTCTACCTATGCCCAGATGAAAGACGGCCATAATGACATAATCTCTCTCAATAGGGTTAAGGGGCAATTCCTTTCCAAAATAAAAATAATTGGTGGCGACGACTTTCCCTCAAAGAGATAGTGTATGGCAAAAGTGGATCACTTCAGAAAGAAAACCGCAAGGTTGTTCGAAAGAAACACTGATTCAAACAGAAGAACGGGCATAAATCTTTTTGAGCATGTGCTCCGGTCATAAGACACTGCCTAGTGGGCTTTGGTGTGTCAAAGAAAAAAAGTTGATACCTTGTACGTTGCCAGAGGCATAGCTGAGACTTGATCAAACCATATCACTCCCTTATTTGTGGTCGTCAACTGAAGTCTAGAATTGGTATTTGATTCCTTGGCTTGCAAAAGAACCTCCATTTTTGTCCAGTTTGATATGTCAGGAGCAGAAGCTCTGCAATAAGACTTTCAAATATCATCATGCCGATCCAGTAGATCCTCTCTCCTGGCATCACTCTATTAAGACTCTTCGTACCTCCTAATGCATACTATTATTAAATTAAAAGAGAAGAAGGTGCCCCAGAAAGAGCATAAAGATGGAATAGAGAGAGTGCAGAGTGAAAATCAGGTCCACAAGGATACCACATTTTCAAATTAACACTATTTATCTGGGTCTCTGTGAGCACTTAAATGGTACTTACATTATGTTCGCAGCAGCCAGAGTGGGCGTCCCGCTTGAGCCCGTCAAAGATACAGATACATTAATTGACCCGGATGAACGAACATAAAGGACCACTTTGTACGTCTTCCCTTCTTCTATATTCTGAAGAGCGACAAATCATAGGATTTGAAGTACATTAAAATATTCAAAAGCAGAGAGCAAGAAGACAAAATTATCCAAGCATTCGAAAGTAGATCCATGAAGTTGAAGAAAATGTTGAGGAACGGTATGGATCTGAAATGTTTTGGAAAATAAAAAACTGAAATCCAACAGATAGAGATGAGAACAGGAAGCCATGTTTACTATTATTCATGGAAGATCAGAGTAGAAGTAAAACAATAATTGTTTAGGAAATCAAACAGTCATTAGTACTCACCATGCCCCAGAATCCTGGGTTATACACACCAACACCACCAGCTGGACACATATTATCACCTTGGCTGTCACAGAGCACATCCATCCGAAGTGCAACTTTATTGCGTTCAAAGCATGATGACCGGTCGGTTGAAACAACCAAAAATGACTCGTCCCCAATTATCGACCATGGGTCGATGTTTGAGGGTGTATTAGGGCCCCCAGCTTCAAATCCTGGAGTTAGAATGAAACAGGAATTTCGTTCAGCTGACGGCACCTTCAGAGTGCAGGAGTTAACATAAACAACTGCCCATCCTCTAAAATATGAAGTTCATGAGAAGATGAGAGATACACTGGACACAAAAAATGGGCGGCTTCTTCTATGTCCGTTAACCACCGGAAGATAAAGAATGAATCGAAGCAAAACATTCTTTCGAGGATTAAAGTGTATTAATAGGAAAGCATCCGAATAGTGTCGAAATCATGCAGATGAGCCTACATGCATGAGCAAATAATTCCCCATTTGTACTAGACGTCTGAGAACGGATTTGGCAATCCATTCCGACCAAACCAATAGGAGCAGGGGCACATCCAATTCCATCTACAACTTAGCTATGTAAAGTAAGCACTCTTGTTGAGTCTCCCATTTCCAAAACAGCCCTTTAAGAAGCCACGGTCCGCATCTGAATTAAATTTTTCACAGAAACTGAAGCGGCAGGCTATCTCAGATTAACAAACATCCAATAGGAATCATTACAGTAGTCTGAAATATAATTAGATAAGCACACTGAAAAAAAGGGATCCTGAGATCACCTCTGTTGCTTACAAGCTCCGCCCACAATCCTCCAGCCCCAGCATGGTTGATCTCCTGCGATGATGACACTTCATATGAGGCATATCCACCATCAACGAAACAAAAGGAACAGCAAAAGCTAGAAATCATGTCTAGTCGTTGCAATGCATCAACCAGTAGAATGGTAGCTCTAGAGTAACTAAGGAAATAATGATACTTTGCTGTTCATCTCTCTAGGCAGGTCAGTAAATGCTGCCTCAAGGTGGATGGTTGTGCATGCAGCAAGCAATTAGAAATGAATAGGCTCGTACAAGTGTTGCTACACACAGAAGCATGGCATGCCATCTCAACATGGCATCAAAAGGTCAAACGGATGATCATGAACCTAAGTCTATCATTTCCCTGAAAGTTCTCAGTAGACCAGTTCACACACGGATCCACATAATTGCAAAAAAGGACATTGACGGAAATGGAAGAATGAACTCTTCTAGGGTCCTGAACAGACCTCAAAGGATATACCGAACAGCGTTTCAGGTATCGCCCGACCCGTGGAAGCATTAACGAGCAGCAGTGCAGTCTGATTCGCCTCAACATCAAGAGCAAAACATTGCCATACAGAAGAAAGGCCGATGAAGAGGAATAGCAGAAGGCCACTGCTAGGAGCTTCTTTGCAAACCCGCATTGTCACTCCTCTACCACATTCGATTTCAGCACGCCATAATGAAGGGAAGTTCAGTAGAAAACTCAGTCATGCTACGATCGATAAGATTGATATCACAGAAAAGAGAACAAAGTCAAGATCGTCATTTGTTGAGGTAATCTAATCCTGCCCAGATATAGAAAACCAATCACTCAGAACCTTTTGTAACAACCTTCTGACAACATTTTGTCACTACATGGACTCATTGAGACAACCAATGCTGATACAGACGATGATGCAACAACAGCAAAATCCAGGCTTTTCATCACCCACATACGCAATTCCAAATTTTGGAGCAAATAAGAAGCAAACAATACAGAGCCACAAATAGGATTCACATCAAAGAAACTAACGGAGCAATCGTTAAAAGCAACCGTTCAACACTCTGAATTTAAGCAAAAAACGAACCAAAGTTAGAACTGGATGACAGAGAAAAAAGAGCAAACAATTCTGCCCCTCTCGATATTCATCTGGCCAAAAACGATCATGTACCTGAAATGCCCCGATTGACAAATAGCCAGAGACAGACCGAGTCAACGAAGAAGTGGGTATAAGCAGGACCGGCAGTTAAACAAAAAGAACTGGAAAAGTTTGCGATTACGAGCTACGCTCGAATGCTTTCCTCCTTTGTAAAGAGAGAGAGAGATCGAATGCTATCCTCCTTTGCTATGTTTTCTTCATCCACACAAGATTGCCCATGCAATCAAGTGATCACGGATAAACATCAAGGAGGCACTCCATTGTCCATCCTACAAGAGTCATGGTGACAATGAGTGCAAAATCGAAAAGGCAGGCAAATCCCGAATAGGAAAAAAGAGTGTGAGTGTTATCCTATGATGCCTTGCGTTCGCTTGTCGCCCCAAATCTAGTGACAAGTGACCTAATAAATCGCCTGCCTTGAGCATTAGGATAATGGTTTGCTTTGCACAGATTGTTTGTCCACGAAAGCAAAGGGATAAGCTCAGATCGTAGGCAAACGAAAGAATAGCGGGTCCGCAGCTGTCAAAAAGATGCTGACAAAACAGTGGCCGTAATGCATCACGAGTCAAGAACCAGTCCCCGAGGAGGAAGGACCGGTGGCGGGTCCTGATCAGGCGAGCTAATAATAGAGGTAGACTGATAAGCTTTGTGGTTCAAGAAATCACCTCCACTACGAGAAAAAGGCAATGTTGCCGGCCAAACTTCTAAGTATTTTATCTGCTGTTTGTTAACAAAACATTTTATGATTTATCAATTTTATTTTGTATTAACCTTATCGGGGTCTATCGATTGATCAAAGAAAATAATACCCATCCGAATTAGATGCAAGGCACAAATTCCACGCTCCGTATTCCCAAGTCTACAAATAGATTCGTGCGTGGATTAGCCATATGACCTTTTGACTTCTATCAGCGAAAAGTTTTATATATCTGAAATTAACTTAATATAGATTATTGAAAAGAAATATTCGTGCTCGATGGAACTTAGGAAGTGAATGATGAAGATCCCTTGTTGCATAGATGATGTGGACGGATTAGCATTTCGTATCAATGGCTGATGTGAATTCATAATTTGATTGTTTTGTATCGATTGATCTGAGGGAGTGGGGGGCTAACAGACATGAAAACAGACACTGTCCATTCATGTTGATTTAGGAATTAATACCCACTTGCAATACGAATTGGCCAAATCCCGCATCTCTCGCGCAGCTCCAATCAAACGAAACAAGGATAATGCATATGACAAGTTAACAAGATGAGAGAGAATGACTCATTTAGCAGCATATGTAAGATAACTTGCTGTTCAACAGTATCGAGCAGCAGCCGAGAAGGAAGTACATATTGCAGCCACAAAGATCTACAAAGCTTGGATTGAGGGCGATAACATTGAGTTATGAGATTATTCCATATAATTTACACTTATCAGTTACATAAATTAGATAGAAGATCTAGAAGAATATCATCTCCCTTGATTCATGTGAGATTTTGTGGGACCATAGCTTTTAAAAGAGCTGGTAGTGGTCCCACGAAATCTCACAATACAGATGCTGGTCGATTCTTTTAACAAATCAAAGGAAGTAAACGAGTAGGGCAAGATAACGACATCCATCTCTTTGCCTGCGTTTTCGAGTATACTTTGGATCGGCACCACCTGCATTGCATTGGCCAAAATCATATATTGGAAGGTGAGATGAGAACATACCCTTCACATCATTAAGCCTGTACTCACTAGACTGCATTTCTCATCCTATCTTCAACTAGACTTGCAGAAAATCTCTACAGATGAACTAACGCATCCTTCTGCACTCGCCAGCATGACAGATTATGTCCACATTCAAGTTTGAAGTTAAATGAGACGTCGGAGGGGGCAAATAGGAAAAGATGAGATGTTCTGACCTTGTTCGGCTCAGAAAAGGAGTTCTCATCCATCACGTTAGCAGATGTTAAAACCATCTTTGAGGATGCAGACTTTTGTATCGAATTTTGATCCAGGCCGCTAATGGAAATTGTTAGATTAACCGAACTGCTACCGAAGTTCACAATCTGCAAAAAATTACCAGGTTACCCAACGAGGCAACGCTCATTTATGTGGATAAGACGCACCAAAGTAAATGTTGCAGCATTTATTTCATGAGGGCCACACTGCTCTTATTTCCTACTATAGTTGCGTCTCACATCTGAAAAAAAGGAATCCCATCGACCCCAAAAGTCGAACGTTAACCGGGATTAGAGCACAAACTCAACTACACAAAATCAATGCACAGCACCCTATCACAGACCTTGATCTTTATGTAGCTTTTTTTATCCTCTGAATTCGTCCATGTGATCGCCGAGGCGAGAAGTGAGCTGGAGGAATTCACTCGAATTGTAGTATCAAGAAGAGTTGCTCCACTCGACTCAGCGAAAAACCATTGTACCCAGTAACTTGGAGTTCCATAGATTTGTGATGAATCGAAAACAATTGCATCTGGCTTCCACCTAGGGATGGAAGAGTTGTCAAACCTTAGCCAGGACTAACTTAAAAAATCCTGCTTAATGCTAAAAGTCTCCACCAGACCAATATTCAAAAAGGGCAATAAGGGAAGTACCTCCTATAGTTTGAATTGGCGAAGAGCGGTGCATAGCATACCAACTCAACGACATCACTGCAAACAGACAAGATGAAGATGATCAATAACCTTTTCTTCAATTCATCTGCAAAGGATGAACTCAAAAGAAAATCAGAGCGACATCCTTGAATTCAAATGATTTCCCCAATGTGAAAATAATTAGTCAGCTACATCTGTCACCTCTTTTCACATGGAAATTAAAGGCATGTGAGCAAGTGCATGCACACGCACGAACGCGCGCACAAGCGCGTGCGCACACAAACTTAAATGGAAACAGAGAGCACACCTGTTCTTTTCTAGCCCAATAAGGAAGCCGGCTTCAGCCAAGCCTGCTAACAGACTTCCTGCGCCCGCATCTTTCCCAGTCACAGCATATTCGCTTACAAAAGCCTTAACACAGTAGATCATAAGATCAACACTAATGCATGGTTGGATGTGTATATTAGTTATGAGTAGACACATCAGACCACACCTTTGGACCAGCGCGGGACGTATTATCAAACTTATGAGCCATAGAAAATAGACTGTCGGCAGATCTATAGATCTAAGCAAGAAGGAAAGGTATTCATCAGTGAAATGATTTAGGATATAACACAAAGAAATCTGCAGCAACAGCCAATTGCAGCATTAAAGATGTCAATGTTCGACTTACGTGACAATTGTAGAAATCAGCTGGGTGATCTAATGGTTGAGAAGAGCCATCGCAGTTGGAAATCATTTTAATGTCTGGATAGGCACTTTTTATAGCGCTATGAAACTTGAGGTAATTCCCTGGTCAGTTTGATACAAAAATGAGATCTTACCGGATCAGTCCTACATTCGAAGTTCAGACATAATATCAGGAAAAAGGAGAAGACAGTCACAAACCAACCTAGGTAATTCTTCTTGTGACAGTTTTCATTCCCGATAGCAACATATCGTAGGTCAAAAGGCTCAGGGTGTCCCATTTGAGCTCGCAAGGATCCCCATGTAGAATTGGGATTCCCTCTAGCAAACTCTATGCCGTCAAGTGCTTCCTGGAGTTAAGTTAAAGGTCATTGACGTTGACATAACCTTTATTACTAGAAAGCAAACAGACCCTTCAAATGAACAGGCGGTGAAAATTTTATCTCGTGAGCAAGGGCTTTAAACTGTCGACATCACGTGAAAAAGAATATTCATATAAACCAAAGGACTAACACTTGCAAAAAGAGCAGCTAGTAAATGTCCAGGCAACTTAAATTGAGAAACCAGTGGCTCACACATTACAAAAAGAGCAGCTACAATATTTCCACATGACTTAGTTGAGACGACATTTACATGACCAAATGATCGAGATCCATGGAGTCTCATCCATAATAACCACCTCAAGTGTTGAACAAAAAGAAAAGGCAGCTAAAAGATGATGTGTCCAAAATAAATCTGGCTCCACTGAAAAGGAATGCTTTGCCCAGATGTGTCCATTATCTTCACTCAATATTTGATCCTCTTGCTTTCTAATAGTAGAAGTCATTCACTGACAATGACAATTTGTGCAAAAGTAATTGCATACTGATGGAATGTATTCATGGAGGCATTTCTTACTATTTGAGGACATTAAATGCATTATATCTATCAGTGCATGTTGATACTGTTGGTTTTGCTTCAGAGATGACGAGACATACTAATAGACAATTGGGTAAGGCTACCGTTGCTCGTTAACTGATCAATGTCAACAGGCCATTAATTGGCGAGATTGGACGGTATTTGGGCTCACCTGTACGAAAGGCGAGAGAGCAGAAGTATCAACTTGATCCTTGAGGCTGATTCCTGCAGAAAGAAAAAATAACAAAGTTAAAAAAAAAAAAGGACAAGCAGAATATGGTAATCAAGAATTAAAAAAGTAACATAGCATCAAGATGCTAAAGTACCAATGTTAAACACCCATATTGGTCGACTTTTCAGGTCTTCTGCGAGCTGCAAAGAAAGTAACCATCACATTATACAATTAAACCCAAATGTACATCTTTGAAGTCCTAGAAGTACTTTTACAAGAATAAATAATTGCAATCAAAAGTATAAATACTGACCTGAAGGAACTCAAAGTAACCAAGACCATCATCAGTCCAATACCTCCACACGTCATTAAAGTGGCTAGGTCTCTCTTCCCATGGTCCAACAGTTTCTTTCCAGCGAAATGCATTTCTTAACGATGCACCTTCAACATAACAGCCACCTAGAGGAAAAATGAAGAAAAGATGCTTCATGACCCTAAGATGAGAAGTATGAGTAACTTATTAAGCTAACTGTGAGCTGTTCTGGGGATACCTATTGCAATGCCTATTGATGGTTAGAGACATGCAAAACTTGGGTCTGGGAAAAACTATTAGATTGATGAGAGAAGAAGATACATGCATTTGATGCAACTCAGGAAAATTAGTATCTGAGATCGCCAATATTCAGTCTAGATGCACACGGGCCACCTCATATTACGTTATTGTAGCATGAGCTAAAATGTAAAAGAAAAATTATATACCCGGGAATCTGAGGAATTGAGGTTTAAGATCTTCAAGCATTTTAACAAGCTCAGTTCTGAAACCATGTCCCTGTTGCAAGGTAAGTTTTTGGAAGAACATCAAGGGATGTTTAGATAAGCAACTATAACGCATAAAATTTTTCCAGAGAGCAAAGAATTGTAGTATTAAAAGCACCTAGAGTCAAGTTCTCGTGCTTCAGCTAAAAGCATGTAGATTCACATCCCATGCTTCAGCAACTCCACATAAAACCCAAGAGAAGAAATGCGCAATTTGAAAATTATTGACTAGATGTTGAAGCAGTATGGAATATTGATATTAAATTCCTCTTTAGAAAAGTCTTCTCTCTGTATTAGTCTACCTATGCCGGGATCAAAGACAGCCATACTGACATAATCCCTCTCAATATGGTTAAGGGACGAACCCATGCCAAAAGAAAATAATTGGTGATAAATAACTCACCCTCAAAGAGAATGTATGGCAAAAGCGGATCACTTTAGAAAAGAAAACCGCAAGGTTGTTCAAAAGAAACAATGATTCAAACAGAAGAACGGGCATAAATCTTTTTGAGCATGCGTCAGTGGGCATTGGTGTGTCAAAGAAAAAAAGTTGATACCTTGTACGTGTCCAGAGGCATAGCTGAGACTTGATCAAACCATATCACTCCCTTATTTGTGGTCGTCAACTGAAGTGTAGAAGCATTTGATTCCTTGGCTTGCAAAAGAATCTCCATCTTTGTCCAGTTTGATACGTCAGAAGCAGAAGCTCTGACAGGAGCTTAAAGGCGGACAGGAGCACGACCACCGCGACCACCACGAAGGCCAGGTTCCACACGAAGTCGAGGACCACGATCGGCCTCGAGCACGCGGCGAGCCCCTCCCCGAAGAAGCTCGAGGCCGCCTCCTCGATGTCGCCCCCCGATCCTCCGCCGCCCCCGCCCCCCCTGCCGCCGCCGCCGCCGCCGCCGCCGCCGCCGTCGCCGCAGTCCCCGAGGAGGAAGGAGCGGTGGCGGGTCCTGATCAGGCGAGCCAAGCGGGACGGGGAGGGGGAGGAGGAGGCCGCGGGGGCGTGGCGGCGGAGGAGGGGGGGATCGCCGCCGCCGCCATGCAAGGGGTCTTCAGGGTCATCCATATCTGGGTCTTGGAGGGGAGAGGCCGGGGAAGAGGAAGACAGAGGAAAGGTGCGACCTTTGTCCGTGTACTACTACGTGCTTGTGCTTACTCTAACCGTCAAAATGGTCAAAAACCCGTTACTTAACCTATATATTAGTAGATCAATCATAAATATGTTAGTTATATTTAGTAAATGGATCATAAATAAGTAAAAATTTAATATTAGTGTTAAATGGATCATAAATAAATTATAAATGGATCATAAATGAGTTTACAACTGATTTAAACTCAACTCGTCTCTCTCGCCCTTACTTAATTTTGCGGTCACTCACTTCGCACTCTCATCTCAGTTTGGATATGAATTTTTCTAGATTTAATTAAATATAGAAGTGTTTTAGCAAAATGGGGTCTGATCGGGTATGGATCGGGTATGGATCGGATCGAGTATGGGTCAAGAAAATTGCATTGCGCATAAATGAGTCATAAACGGGTTAACGGGTCAATTTGGGTTGGACCATTTATGACCCGATCCGACCCACCCATTTGACAGGTCTAGTGCCTACAAAGAGAAGGGGAGAAGGAGAAGGGGAATAGAGAGGGTTTAGGTGGTGGTGGTGGTTACTGGGTAGGGGAGGAGCTAGTGGAGAGCGGTGGTGGTGGGAGGTGGTGGCAGTCGCTGTTTATCTTCGTCGTGTGGCCAACTGGGGAGAGAGAGAATGCCAAACGCATCCTTTCCTCCTCACCAACATACTAACCTTTTTATTTTTTTCAAGGTAGGATTGACATCGAAACTCCTCATCATTGGGGTAAGAACAGCAGAAGTGCCAAAAGCTGTGTACGGAGCTCACTTTGGTGCCAAAAGTTTCAAACGGCTCACTTAAATACCAAGAGTTGTGAAAAACGATCACTTAAGTGCCACATCGCCGAAAATCCGACGTGGCATTTTTTTATTAATTTCTCAAGCTGATGTGGCTCGCCGGAGGCTGACGTGGCATTTCTTTTCTTTTTTTTTTTCTTTTCTTTCTTTTCTTTCTTCTTATTTCTCATGGCCAGCGTTCGGCCACGGCCGGCCTCGCCGGGCGTCGCCTTCCTCCGGGCGAGGCCTTGGCGAGGGCTCACCTCGCCAGATCCGACAAGGTCGGCCCTCGCCGAGGCCACGGCAGCCTCGCCGGCCCTCGCCCGTAGGAAGGCGACGCCTCGGCGAGGTCGTCGTGGCCTAGGCGAGGGCTTGCCTTGCCAAATCCGGCGAGGCTGGCCCTCGCCGAGGCCACAGCGGCCTCGCCGGCCCTTGCCCGGAGGAAGGCGACGCCTCAGCGAGGCCGCCGTGGCCTTGCCGAGGGCTCGGCTCGCCGCATCCGACGAGGCCGGCCCTCGCCGAGGCCACGGCGGCCTCGCCGGCCCGCCCGGGAGGAAGGCGACGCCTCGGCGAGGCCGTCGTGGCCTTGGCCAGGGCTCGCCTCGCCGGGGCTCGCCCTGTCCAGGCGAGGGTCGACCTTGCCTGGGCAGGGTGAGCCCCGGCGAGGGCTCGCCTCGCCAGATCCGGCAAGGCCGGCCCTCGCCCAGAGGAAGGCAACGCTCGGCGAGGCTGGCCTTGGCCGGTGGCTGGCCTCCGGCCACCGGCCATGGTAGAAGAAGAAGAAGAAGAAAGAAAAGAAAAAAGAAAAAAGAAAAGAAAGAATAAAAAATCAGAAAAAAATTTTAAAAATTGAATTATACACGTGGAAATGCCACGTGTCATTAAAATTTAAATATAAAAGCCACGTATTAAATTTGATCGGAATTTCTCGTCATTGGCACTTAAGTGATCGTTTTTTCTCCGATTTGGCACTTAAGTGATTGCTGGCGTAAACTTTTGGCACTTAAATGATCCGTTTGAAACTTTTGGCACCAAAGTGAGTTCCGTACACAACTTTTGGCACTTCTGCTGTTCTTCCCCCCCTCATCATTATTTACCTACTTATACATGGGCAGAGAAAACGACATGGACAGTTCCCCGAACTTTGGCTCGATGTGTAATGTAATTCGTGAATTCTTAATTTGTTCAATGTGGCCTATGAATTTTCACCCAGTGTGTAATGTGATTTATGAATTTTTAATTTGTTCAATGTCGTCCCTCAACTTTTCGTACACATTCAATTTAGTTTTCAAACAATATAAAAATATTCAATACAGTTATTGAACATGTACCGAAAGTCAATGGATCAGATTGAACAAATTAAAAGTTCAGGGATCACATTGAACATTAAGTTAAAATTCATGAGCAATATTGAACAAATTAAAAGTTCGTGAACTAAATTGGATATTAGGCCAAAGTTCAGGACCGTTTGTATCAATATCCCTAATTGCATATTAGTGGGAATTCTTGATTTATGAAATTCCATCGCTTTCCTTTTTATTCTTTTTTCTTCATTTATTGAGACTTCGGTAGCGTTCATGCCTTTTTGTGTTTGATAGATGGTGCACTTAGTTTGAGGAAAAGTTTTCTCCTTTGGGAAGTGCCCTCACCATAAGATTTCATGTCAACAAGTTAGCTTTTGATTCTTATTTAAGGATCTATGATTTCGTGGAAGGAAAAAAGGGGGCTCTTGAAAATTGGAAACGGACCGATTTCTGGTAGAGAAAAATTAGACGATAAAGATGTTGAGATTATACTGACTCACGATTTGTGGTGATTAGGATACGCATTAAAAGTAGTGGACTCAAAGATAATAGCTATAAGAGTTAATTGAAGATGGAGATGGTGACAACCATAGAAATGAATTATGCTTACAGACTAGTCAAATAGTAATAATAGAAATGGACTGATAAGCTATGGCTCCACTACGAAAAAAGTAAGGTGAATGGCCAGACTTCTAAGCATCTTATCTGTCGTTTGTTAACAAAACCTTTTATGATTTCTCAATTAAATTTTGTATTAACCCTATTGGGGTCGGTTGGTAGGTCAAAGAAAACAGTACCCGTCCGTATTAGATGCGAGACACGAATTCAATGCTCTATACTCCCAAATCCAAAAAACGTAATGTACATGGATTAGCCATCTAACCTTTCGATTTCCATCTCATCTGACATGGTCAATGAGAAATTTTATATGTCTGGAACCAACTCGATACGGACTATGAAAAGAAATAAACGCACCCGATGGAACTAGGATGTGGACGATGAAGAAGACAACAACATTTTCCTTGGTTGCACAGCCGATGTGGACGGGTTAGCATTTCGCATCAATGGCTGATGCGACTTAATTAATTTAATCGTTTTGCATCGATTGATCTGAGGGAGTGGGGGGCTGACAGACATGAAGACACAGACTGTCCATTCCTGTTGTTGGGATTAATGTATCATCCTCAAAATTTAGTCTTTGTACTTTTAGGAATTGTTATTGCCGCAGTTGCTCTCGGTGAACCCGCCCCCGATTAGCATCCACCGTAACCTAGAAATGAACAAGAGAAGGAACGTGTAAAGCATGTTTTCCTTGATTAAAAACGACTTAATCTAGCACCAAGCGTTAGCTCTAATTTGAATGTGAAATTAGAGGGATTCCGTAATTAATCCGACGTTAGGGACTTCTAATCACGGCCTCATTATGCGAAGAGGGCATAACGAACATCATTAGAGTTAGGAAGGACAGAAAGGACAGAGTAGTAGTTGGTGTGTGGACATGAATAATTGCAGAGGCCAATTGGTTTGTTTAAGACGTAAAACCGCCTAATTTAATCAGCGTAATACTTAATTAAGATTAGTTGGAGGTTGGTGCTTAACTATTCACGGCTATTATACGGTAGGTATTAGGTATTCTCCCCTGGGACATCATCGAATGATGTTGCTTAATGATCCAACCGTCCAATTTCTAATTGAAAGGTTCAATTCACATTTACAATATTTACATGAATAGATAATATATGTGAAAGGTACACATGTGCATTACTATAAGGAAATGATGGAATTAGATGCGAAATTTAGGATATGATAATATCAAAATGTCAACCCCTAAATAATTAGTGATCCAAGCCTGCCACAATGAAAGGCAATGGGGCATTGCATTAGCATATTCCGAAGACATTAGTTATGGATGATATAGAATATCGCAAAATTTAGGGCCAAAAACAAAAAATGACTAGAAAAGGTCAAAATTTTGTTATGTAAACAAAACTTATAATCTCTCCCAATTAAAGAGAGAGTCTGGTCGTCTACGACAACTTCCACTCCAAACCCGGAGAGGGACGGACTGTGCCGAGTTCAGCTAATCTAAACAAGGCCAAAGAACATCGTTCCTCCGCCGAGACCCATTTGACAAAACTTTGGAACCGTTATTGCATGATCGCAATACTTCTCAAAAAATGGAAACCGTTGATCGACATAGGAACACTATCACTTCTATGTTCCATGAAATATCACTTCAAAAGTGGATGATCGACTTGTTCTATACTATAGAAAATCACAAGAAAGTATTTTGATAACACGGATTCTACTTCTCAATCAAAACCCACTTGCAACACGAATTGGCCAAAGTCATGCGTCTCTTGCGCAGCTCAAATCAAGCGAAACAAGGATAATGCATGACAAGTTCACAAGGTGAGAATTACAACTTTACCAGCATATGAAATATAATCTACTGTTCTATAGCATCGAACAGCAGCTAAGCAAGAAGCACATTGTTACAACCACAAGCTCTACATAACTTGGATTGAGGGCGACAACATCTGAGTTATGAGATTATTCCATATAATTACAATCATCAGTCATATAAATTAGATAGAAGATCTAGAAGAATGATCATCTCCCTCAATCCGGATGCTCGTCGATTCTTTTAACAAATCAAAGGAGGTGAAGGAATAGGGCAAGATAACGACATCCATCTCTTTGCCTGCGTTTTCGAGTAGACTTTGGATTGGCACCACCTGCATTGCATTGGCCAAAATTGTATATTGGAAGGTGAGATGAGAAAATACCCTCCATATCATTAAGCCTGTATTCGCTTGATTGTCTTTCTTATCCTATCTCCCAACTTGAATTGCAGAAAATCAATTCGGATGAACTAACACATCCTTTTACACTTGCCAGCATGACAAATTACGTCCACATTAAAGTTCAAAGTTAAATAAGACATCATCAGGGAAATAGGAAGAAAAGAGATGTTCTGACCTTGTTTGGCTCAGAAAAGGAGTTCTCGTCCATCAAGTTAGCAGATGTCAATACCATCTTTGAGGATCCAGACTTTTGTATCCAATTTTGATCCAGGCCGCTAATGGAAATTGTTAGATTAACCAAACTGCTACCAAAGTTCACAATCTGCAAGAAATTACCAGGTTACCTAACCAAATAGTGCACGTTTATGTGGATAAGACACACCAAAGCAAATCTTGCAGCATTTATTTTATGAGGGCCACACTGCTCTTATTTCCTACCATAGTAGGGTCTCACGTCTGAAAAAAAGGAAACCCATCGACCCCAAAAGTCGAATATTAACTGGGATTAGAGCACAAACATAACTACACAAAATCAACGCATTGCACCCTATCACAGACCTTGATCTTGATGTAGCTTTTTTTATCCTCTGAATTTGTCCATGTGATCGCTGAGGCGAGAAGTGAGCTGGAGGAACTCGCTTGAATTGTTGTATCAAGAAGAGTTGCTCCACTTGACTCGGTGAAAAACCGTTGCACCCAGTAACTTGGAGTTCCATAGAGACGTGATGAATCGAAAACGATTGCATCCGGATTCCACCTAGGGATGGAATCAATCCTTAGCCAGAACTTTAAAAATCCTGCTTAATGCTAAAAGTCTCCACCAGACCAATATTCAAAAAGGGCATTGATGGAAGTACCTCCTATCGTTTGAATTGACGAAGAGCGGTGCATAGCTTGCCATCTCAACGATATCACTGCAAACAATAAGACAAAATTGATCAATAACCTTTTCTTTTATTCATCTGCAAAGGATAAACTCAAAATAAAATCAGAGCGACATCCTTGAATTCAAATGATTTCCCCAATGTGAAAATAAATAGTCAGTTACATATGTTACCTCTTTTCACATGGAAATAAAAGGCACGAGAGCAAGTGCGTGCACACGCACGCACAAACACACCTGCGCACTCGTATGGAAACAGAGAGCACACCTGTTCTTTTCTAGCCCGATAAGGAAGCCAGCTTCAGCCAAGCCTGCTAATAGACTTCCTGTGCCCGCATCATTCCCAGTCACAGCATATTCGCTTACAAAAGCCTGAACACAGTAGATCACAAGATCAACTGTAATGCACGGTTCGATGTGTATATTAGTTATGACTAGACACATCAGACCACACCTTTGGACCAGCAGCTCGGGACGTCGTATCAAACTTCTGAGCCATAGAAAATAGATTCTTGGCAGATGTATACACCTAAGCAAGAAGCAAAGGTATTCATCAGTGAAATGATTTAAAATATAACACAAAGAAATCTATAGCAACGGCCAATTGCAGCATTAAAGATGTCAATGTTCGACTTACGTGAAAATCGTAGAAATCAGCTGGGTGATCTAATGATTGAGAAGAGCCATCGCAGTTGGAAATCATTTTAATGTCTGGATAGGCACTTTTTATAGCGCTATGAAACTTGAGGTAATTCCCTGGTCAGTTCGATACAAAAAGAAGATCTTACTGGATCAATCCAACATTCGAAGTTCAGACATAATATCAGGAAAAAGGGGAAGACAGTCACAGACCAACCTAGGTAATTCTTCTTGTGACAGTCTTCATTCCCGATAGCAACATATCGTAGGTCAAAAGGCTCAGGGTGTCCCATTTGAGCTCGCAAGGAACCCCACGTAGAATTGGGATCCCCTCTAGCAAACTCTATGCCGTCAAGTGCTTCCTGGAGTTAAGTTAAAAGGTCATTGACCTTGACAAAACCTTTATTACCAGAAAACAAACCAACCCTTCAAATTGACAGACGGTGAAAAATTTATCTCGTGAGTAAGTGCTGCAAACTGTCGACATCACGTGAAAAAGAATATTCATATAAATTAAAGGACTAACACTTACACAAAGAGCAGCTAATAAAATGTCCAGATAACTTAAATTGAAGAACCAGTGGCTCACACTTGACAAAAGAGCAGCTACAATATTTTCACATAACTTAATTGAGACGGCATTTACATGTCCACGTGATCAAGATCCATGGAGTCTCATCCATAATAACCACCTAAAGTGTTGAACAAAAAGAAAAGGCAGCTAAAAGATGATGTGTCCGTAATGAATCAGGCTCCACTGAAAAGGAATGCTTTGTACAGATGGGTCCATCATCTTCACTCAATATTTAATCCTCTTGCTTTCTAAAAGTAGAAGTCATTCACTTACAATGACAATTTGTGCAGAAGTAATTGCATACTGATGGAATGTATTCATGGAGCATTCCTCACTATATGAGGACATTAAATGCATTATATCTATCAGTGCACATTGATACTGTCCGGTTCTGCTTCAGAGATGATGAGACATACTAATAGACAAATCGTGTAAGGCTACCGCTGCTCATTGATTGATCAATGTTGACAGGCCATTAATTGGCAAGATTGGACGGGACTTGGACTCACCTGTATAAAAGGCCAGACAACAGAACTATCAACTTGATCGTTGTGGCTGATTCCTACAGAAAGAAATAATAAGAAAGTTAAAAAAAAAGACCAGCAATATGGCAAAAAAGGATAAACAAGTAACATAGCATCAAGATGCTAAAGCACCATTGTTAAACACCCATATTGGTCGAGTTTTCAGGTCCTCTGCGAGCTGCAAAGAAAGCAACCATCACATTATATAATTAAACCCAAATGTACATCTTTAAAGTCCTAGAAGTACTTTTACGAGAATAAATAACTGCAACCAAAAGTATAAATACTGACCAGAAGGAACTCGAAGTAACCGAGACCATCATCAGTCCAATACATCCACACATCCCCAAAGTGGCCAGGTCTCTCTTCCCATGGTCCAACAGTTTCTTTCCACCGAAATGCATTTCTTAACCATTCACCTTCAACAAAACAGCCACCTAGAAGAAAAAAGAAGAAAAGATCATGAGCTAAGATGAGAAGTATGATTAATTTATCAAAGCTTACTGTGGGCTGTTCTGGGGATACCTATTGCAATGCCTACTGATGATTAGAGACGTGAAAAACTTGCGTCTATGAAAATTATTGGAATGATGAGAGAAGAAATTTCAAAAGATAGGCTTCAAAAGATAGAAATCATATATATATATTTTCTGTCGAGAAACTCAATTGCAAACCACTATACAACCGTCCTTGAAAAAATGACAGCCATCAGATTAATAAAAGGAGAGAATAGTCTCCATGCAGCTCAGTTGATATAACTCGTACTGCTATATGAAGAACTGACAACCACAGTATTGGAAAAATTGATTCATAGCCAATTTTTCCAAATAAAATTTAGTTGAAACAGTATAAGTCGAGGAGTATAATTTCATGAAACTCTTTGCTGTGCTGAACAGTGACATCTAAAACCTTTGTTTCAAAAATCGATGCTGTATGGAGAGTGCTTAAGTACAGGAATTTCAGAGCAGCAATTCTGCAAGTAAAGTGGACTTGGAAGTCGAGTCTTAACATCTGAATTTGGTCTCTGTCAAGATTAGCTAGTGGATACTCAGGTTTAGAAAGTGGTTAGATAAAATGAAACTAATTCTGTCCTCCAATGGACAAATTTAAAACAAAACCATACGGCCAAATTGCATTGGAGTAAATGAAGAAACTGATATATGAATTACATAAGCTTGCATGCATGCATGCTTAAGCACCTACAAACCAGCAGCCAACTAAGGAATAAGAACACATAAGAAAGATTAAACGCTCAAAGGGTTTCTCGTACATTAATCCTATCTTGTCGAATATTCCATATCTATTGTCCTCCACATTGCAGGTTTTAGTCATTTTAGTAGACCAATGACATAAAGCAAATCCCGAAATTTAAAGATCAGCTTAGAGCAGATATACGCATTTGATGCAACTAGGGAAAATTAGCATCTGAGATCACCGATATTCAAGTCTAGATGCACACAGTCCACCTCATAAAACATTAGTGTAGCATGACCTAAAAGGTAAAAGCAAAATTATATACCCGGGAATCTAAGGAATTGAGGTTTAATATCTTCAAGCATCTCAATAAGCTCAGTTCTGAAACCATGTCCCTGTTGCAAGGTAAGTTTTTGGAAGAACATCACGGGACATTTAGATAGGCAACAAATAATGCATAAATTTTGCAGAAAGCAAAGAACTGCAGTGTTAAAAGCACCTACAGTCAAGTTCTCGTACTTCAGCTAAAAGCACGTAGATTCACATCCCATGCTTCAGAAACTCCACATAAAACCCGCAAGAAGAAATACTCGATACAAAAATTATTGACTAGATGTTGAAAGCAGTATGGAATATTGATATTAAATTCCTCTTTAGAAAAACCTTCTCTCTGTATTAGTCTACCTATGCCCAGATGAAAGACAGCCATACTGACATAATCTCTCTCAATAGGGTTAAGGGGCAATTCCTTTCCAAAATAAAAATAATTGGTGACGACGACTTTCCCTCAAAGAGATAGTGTATGGCAAAAGTGGATCACTTCAGAAAGAAAACCGCAAGGTTGTTCGAAAGAAACAATGATTCAAACAGAAGAACGGGCATAAATCTTTTTGAGCATGTGCTCCGGTCATAAGACACTGCCTAGTGGGCTTTGGCGTGTCAAAGAAAAAAAGTCGATACCTTGTACGTTGCCAGAGGCATAGCTGAGACTTGATCAAACCATATCACTCCCTTATTTGTGGTCGTCAACTGAAGTCTAGAATTGGTATTTGATTCCTTGGCTTGCAAAAGAACCTCCATTTTTGTCCAGTTTGATATGTCAGGAGCAGAAGCTCTGCAATAAGACTTTCAAATATCATCATGCCGATCCAGTAGATCCTCTCTCCTGGCATCACTCTATTAAGACTCTTCGTACCTCCTAATGCATGCTATTATTCAATTAAAAGAGAAGAAGGTGCCCCAGAAAGAGCATAAAGATGGAATAGAGAGAGTGCAGAGTGAAAATCAGGTCCACAAGGATACCACATTTTCAAATTAACACTATTTATCTGGGCCTCTGTGAACACTTAAATGGTACTTACATTATGTTCGCAGCAGCCAGAGTCGGCGTCCCGCTTGAGCCCGTCAAAGATACAGATACATTAATTGACCCGGATGAACGAACATAAAGGACCACTTTGTACGTCTTCCCTTCTTCTATATTCTGAAGAGAGACAAATCATAGGATTTGAAGTACATAAAAATATTCAAAAGCAGATAGCAAGAAGACAAAATTATCCAAGCATTCGAAAGTAGATCCATGAAGTTGAAGAAACTGTTGAGGAACTGTATGGATCCGAAATGTTTTGGAAAATAAAAAACTGGAATCCAACAGATAGAGGTGAGAACATGAAGCCATGTTTACTATTATTCATGGAAGATCAGAGTAGAAGTAGAACAATAATTGTTTAGGAAATCAAACAGTCATTAGTACTCACCATGCCCCAGAATCCTGGGTTATACACACCAACACCACCAGCTGGACACATATTATCACCTTGGCTGTCACAGAGCACATCCATCCGAAGTGCAACTTTATTGCGTTCAAAGCATGATGACCGGTCGGTTGAAACAACCAAAAATGACTCGTCCCCAATTATCGACCATGGGTCGATGTTTGAGGGTGTATTAGGGCCCCCAGCTTCAAATCCTGGAGTTAGAATGAAACAGGAATTTCGTTCAGCTGACGGCACCTTCAGAGTGCAGGAGTTAACATAAACAACTGCCCATCCTCTAAAATATGAAGTTCATGAGAAGATGAGAGATACACTGGACACAAAAAATGGACAGCTTCTTCTATGTCCATTAACCACCGGAAGATAAAGAATGAATGGAAGTAAAACATTCTTTTGAGCAAATGAGCCTACATGCATGAGCAAATAATTCCCCTTTTGTACTAGACGTCTGAGAAAGGATTTGGCAATCCATTCCGACCAAACCAATAGGAGCAGGGGCACATCCAATTCCATCTACAACTTAGCTATGCAAAGTAAGCACTGTTGTTGAGTCTACCATTTGCAAAACAGCCCTTTAAGAAGCCACGGTCCGCATCTGAATTAAATTTTTCACAGAAACTGAAGCGGCAGGCTATCTCAGATTAACAAACATCCAATAGGAATCATTACAGTAGTCTGAAATATAATTAGATAAGCACACTGAAAAAAAGGGATCCTGAGATCACCTCTGTTGCTTACAAGCTCCGCCCACAATCCTCCAGCCCCAGCATGGTTGATCTCCTGCGATGATGACACTTCATATGAGGCATATCCACCATCAACGAAACAAAAGGAACAGCAAAAGCTAGAAATCATGTCTAGTCGTTGCAATGCATCAACCAGTAGAATGGTAGCTCTAGAGTAACTAAGGAAATAATGATACTTTGCTGTTCATCTCTCTAGGCAGGTCAGTAAATGCTGCCTCAAGGTGGATGGTTGTGCATGCAGCAAGCAATTAGAAACCAATAGGCTCGTACAAGTGTTGCTACACACAGAAGCAAGGCATGCCATCTCAACATGGCATCAAAAGGTCAAACGGATGATCATGAACCTAAGTCTATCAGTTCCCTGAAAGTTCTCAGTAGACCAGTTCACACACGGGTCCACATAATTGCAAAAAAGGACATTGACGGAAATGGAAGAATGAACTCTTCTAGGGTCCTGAACAGACCTCAAAGGATATACCGAACAGCGTTTCAGGTATCGCCCGACCCGTGGAAGCATTAACGAGCAGCAGTGCAGTCTGATTCGCCTCAACATCAAGAGCAAAACATTGCCATACAGAAGAAAGGCCGATGAAGAGGAATAGCAGAAGGCCACTGCTAGGAGCTTCTTTGCAAACCCGCATTGTCACTCCTCTACCACATTCGATTTCAGCACGCCCTAATGAAGGGAAGTTCAGTAGAAAACTCAGTCATGCTACGATCGATAAGATTGATATCACAGAAAAGAGAACAAAGTCAAGATCGTCATTTGTTGAGGTAATCTAATCCTGCCCAGATATAGAAAACCAATCACTCAGAACCTTTTGTAACAACCTTCTGACAACATTTTATCACTACATGGACTCATTGAGACAACCGATGCTGATACAGACGATGAGGCAACAACAGCAAAATCCAGGCTTTTCATCACCCACATACGCAATTCCAAATTTTGGAGCAAATAAGAAGCAAACAATACAGAGCCACAAATAGGATTCACATCAAAGAAACTAACGGAGCAATCGTTAAAAGCAACCGTTCAACACTCTGAATTTAAGCAAAAAACGAACCAAGGTTAGAACTGGATGACAGAGAAAAAAGAGCAAACAATTCTGCCCCTCTCGATACTCATCTGGCAAAAACGATCATGTACCTGAAATGCCCCGATTGACAAATAGCCATAGACAGACCGAGTCAACGAAGAAGTGGGTATAAGCAGGACCGGTAGTTAAACAAAAAGAACTGGAAAAGTTTGCGTTTTTGGCGAAACAGATAGAATTTTTAAGTGACGATTACGAGCTACGCTGCGAGTTGACTCATGCGATACGGAGGAGGGGCAGAGTGCCGATTTTACTGCGGCAAAAACTTGTGCTTTTTGTCTTTGGCCTTTGCTTTCATGTAAGATCTTATCCCATTTTCTGGCTTTGGATTAGAAGCAACACCCTTCGCTGGGCTCCGTTTGAAGATTTCCCCCCCTGTGGGGCCGGCGATGGCGAGCCGGCGAATCGCTCCCAGCATCGAAAAGTACGAGGTGGGTTCTCGTACTTCGTGTCCCCGAAGTCTCTGGCTTTGGTGGGTGTCCTGCGAACGACATGGAAGTACCCGTTTTCGGGCTGCCTCCATCGCTACATCGTTCTTGCGTAGATTCCATCTCCGCTAATTACGAAACCAAAACATACTTTCCAGGACGAACAATGAGTTTTAGGGCGCGAATGATAACCATTCTATTCCAGAAATTAAATTCTTGCCAGAAATTGATTTATGAAATTCTTGCCAGAAATCAAATTCGTTCCTCGGCCGAGACCCATTTGACAAAACTTTGGAACCGTTATTGCATCATCGTGATACTTCTCAAAAAATGGAAACCCTTGATCGACATAGGAACACTATCACTACTATGTTCCATAAAATATCACTTCAAAAGTGGATGATCGACTCGTTCTATACTATAGAAAATCACAAGAAAGTATTTTGATAACACGGATTCTACTTCTCAATCAAAACCCACTTGCAACACGAATTGCCCAAAGTCATGCGTCTCTTGAGCAGCGCAAATCAAGCGAAACAAGGATAATGCATGATAAGTTCACAAGGTGAGAATTACAACTTTAGCAGCATATGTAATATAATTTACTGTTCTATAGCCTCGAACAGCAGCTAAGCAAGAAGTACATTTTTACAACCACAAGTCCTACATAACTTGGATTGAGGGCGACAACATCTGAGTTATGAGATTATTCCATATAATTACAATCATCAGTTATATAAATTAGATAGAAGATCTAGAAGAATGATCATCTCCCTTAATCCGGATGCTTGTCGATTCTTTTAACAAATCAAAGGAGGTGAAGGAATAGGGCAAGATAACGACATCCATCTCTTTGCCTGCGTTTTCGAGTAGACTTTGGATCGGCACCACCTGCATTGCATTGGCCAAAATTGTATATTGGAAGGTGAGATGAGAAAATACCCTCCATATCATTAAGCCTGTATTCGCTCGATTGTCTTTCTTATCCTAGCTCCCAACTTGAATTGCAGAAAATCAATTCGGATGAACTAACACATCCTTTTACACTTGCCAGCATGACAAATTACGTCCACATTAAAGTTCAAAGTTAAATAAGACATCATCAGGGAAATAGGAAAGACGAGATGTTCTGACCTTGTTCGGCTCAGAAAAGGAGTTCTCGTCCATCAAGTTAGCAGATGTCAATACCATCTTTGAGGATCCAGACTTTTGTATCGAATTTTGATCCAGGCCGCTAATGGAAATTGTTAGATTAACCAAACTGCTACCAAAGTTCACAATCTGCAAGAAATTACCAGGTTACCTAACCAAATAGTGCACGTTTATGTGGATAAGACACACCAAAGCAAATCTTGCAGCATTTATTTTATGAGGGCCACACTGCTCTTATTTCCTACCATAGTAGGGTCTCACGTCTGAAAAAAAGGAAACCCATCGACCCCAAAAGTCGAATATTAACTGGGATTAGAGCACAAACATAACTACACAAAATCAACGCATTGCACCCTATCACAGACCTTGATCTTGATGTAGCTTTTTTTATCCTCTGAATTTGTCCATGTGATCGCTGAGGCGAGAAGTGAGCTGGAGGAACTCGCTTGAATTGTTGTATCAAGAAGAGTTGCTCCACTTGACTCGGTGAAAAACCGTTGCACCCAGTAACTTGGAGTTCCATAGAGACGTGATGAATCGAAAACGATTGCATCCGGATTCCACCTAGGGATGGAATCAATCCTTAGCCAGAACTTTAAAAATCCTGCTTAATGCTAAAAGTCTCCACCAGACCAATATTCAAAAAGGGCATTGATGGAAGTACCTCCTATCGTTTGAATTGACGAAGAGCGGTGCATAGCTTGCCATCTCAACGATATCACTGCAACCAATAAGACAAAATTGATCAATAACCTTTTCTTTTATTCATCTGCAAAGGATAAACTCAAAATAAAATCAGAGCGACATCCTTGAATTCAAATGATTTCCCCAATGTGAAAATAAATAGTCAGTTACATATGTTACCTCTTTTCACATGGAAATAAAAGGCACGAGCAAGTGCGTGCACACGCACGCACAAACACACCTGCGCACTCGTATGGAAACAGAGAGCACACCTGTTCTTTTCTAGCCCGATAAGGAAGCCAGCTTCAGCCAAGCCTGCTAATAGACTTCCTGTGCCCGCATCATTCCCAGTCACAGCATATTCGCTTACAAAAGCCTGAACACAGTAGATCACAAGATCAACTGTAATGCACGGTTCGATGTGTATATTAGTTATGACTAGACACATCAGACCACACCTTTGGACCAGCAGCTCGGGACGTCGTATCAAACTTCTGAGCCATAGAAAATAGATTCTTGGCAGATGTATACACCTAAGCAAGAAGCAAAGGTATTCATCAGTGAAATGATTTAAAATATAACACAAAGAAATCTATAGCAACGGCCAATTGCAGCATTAAAGATGTCAATGTTCGACTTACGTGAAAATCGTAGAAATCAGCTGGGTGATCTAATGATTGAGAAGAGCCATCGCAGTTGGAAATCATTTTAATGTCTGGATAGGCACTTTTATAGCGCTATGAAACTTGAGGTAATTCCCTGGTCAGTTCGATACAAAAAGAAGATCTTACTGGATCAATCCAACATTGAAGTTCAGACATAATATCAGGGAAAAGGGGAAGACAGTCACAGACCAACCTAGGTAATTCTTCTTGTGACAGTCTTCATTCCCGATAGCAACATATCGTAGGTCAAAAGGCTCAGGGTGTCCCATTTGAGCTCGCAAGGAACCCCACGTAGAATTGGGATCCCCTCTAGCAAACTCTATGCCGTCAAGTGCTTCCTGGAGTTAAGTTAAAAGGTCATTGACCTTGACATAACCTTTATTACCAGAAAACAAACCAACCCTTCAAATTGACAGACGGCGAAAAATTTATCTCGTGAGTAAGTGCTGCAAACTGTCGACATCATGTGAAAAAGAATATTCATATAAATCAAAGGACTAACACTTACACAAAGAGCAGCTAATAAAATGTCCAGATAACTTAAATTGAAGAACCAGTGGCTCACACTTGACAAAAGAGCAGCTACAATATTTTCACATAACTTAATTGAGACGGCATTTACATGTCCACATGATCAAGATCCATGGAGTCTCATCCATAATAACCACCTAAAGTGTTGAACAAAAAGAAAAGGCAGCTAAAAGATGATGTGTCCGTAATGAATCAGGCTCCACTGAAAAGGAATGCTTTGTCCAGATTGGTCCATCATCTTCACTCAATATTTAATCCTCTTGCTTTCTAAAAGTAGAAGTCATTCACTTACAATGACAATTTGTGCAGAAGTAATTGCATACTGATGGAATGTATTCATGGAGCATTCCTCACTATATGAGGACATTAAATGCATTATATCTATCAGTGCACATTGATACTGTCCGGTTCTGCTTCAGAGATGATGAGACATACTAATAGACAAATCGTGTAAGGCTACCGCTGCTCATTGATTGATCAATGTTGACAGGCCATTAATTGGCAAGATTGGACGAGATTTGGACTCACCTTTATAAAAGGCCAGACAACAGAACTATCAACTTGATCGTTGAGGCTGATTCCTACAGAAAGAAAAAATAAGAAAGTTAAAAAAACGAAAAGGATAAACAAGTAACATAGCATCAAGATGCTAAAGCACCATTGTTAAACACCCATATTGGTCGAGTTTTCAGGTCCTCTGCGAGCTGCAAAGAAAGCAACCATCACATTATATAATTAAACCCAAATGTACATCTTTAAAGTCCTAGAAGTACTTTTACGAGAATAAATAATTGCAACCAAAAGTATAAATACTGACCAGAAGGAACTCGAAGTAACCGAGACCATCATCAGTCCAATACTTCCACACATCCCCAAAGTGGCCAGGTCTCTCTTCCCATGGTCCAACAGTTTCTTTCCACCGAAATGCATTTCTTAACCATTCACCTTCAACAAAACAGCCACCTAGAAGAAAAAAAGAAGAAAAGATCATGAGCTAAGATGAGAAGTATGAGTAATTTATCAAAGCTTACTGTGGGCTGTTCTGGGGATACCTATTGCAATGCCTACTGATGATTAGAGACGTGAAAAACTTGCGTCTATGAAAAATTATTGGAATGATGAGAGAAGAAATTTCAAAAGATAGGCTTCAAAAGATAGAAATCATATATATATTTTCTGTCGAGAAACTCAATTGCAAACCACTATACAACCGTCCTTGAAAAAATGACAGCCATCAGATTAATAAAAGGAGAGAATAGTCTCCATGCGGCTCAGTTGATATAACTCGTACTGCTATATGAAGAACTAATAGCCACAGTATTGGAAAAATTGATTCATAGCCAATTTTTCCAAATAAAACTTAGTTGAAACAGTATAAGTCGAGGAGTATAATTTCATGAAACTCTTCGCTGTGCTGAACAGTGACATCTAAAACCTTTGTTTAGAAAATCGATGCTGTATGGAGAGTGCTTAAGTACAGGAATTTCAGAGCAGCAATTCTGCAAGTAAAATGGACTTGGAAGTCGAGTCTTAAAATCTGAATTTGGTCTCTGTCAAGATTAGCTAGTGGATACTCAGGTTTAGAAAGTGGTTAGATAAAATGAAACTAATTCTGTCCTCCAATGGACAAATTTAAAACAAAACCATAAGGCCAAATTGCATTGGAGTAAATGAAGAAACTGATATGTGAATTACATAAGCTTGCATGCATGCATGCTTAAGCACCTACAAACCAGCAGCCAACTAAGGAATAAGAACACATAAGAATGATTAAACGCTCAAAGGTTTTCTCGTACATTAATCCTATCTTGTTGAATATTCCATATCTATTGTCCTCCACATTGCAGGTTGTTGAAAACCAGATCCGGATATTTTAGTTAGCAGTAGAAGTTCGATTATTTTGTTTCCAGATTTTCAGGATTTTGTTTGTTAGCTTTTAGGAATTTGTTTCCTAAGTTTTAGGGTGCTGATATTTTTTTTTTAAACCAGCAGATACTAACCAGATTTATGGCTAGTATATCTGGCTTTTTGCTTCGGGTAGTTAGCACAAAATAATTAGCTGGA